ACAATGTAATATAAAATACACATACACTGAATATAAAATAATTAAAAAATAAATAAATAAATTAATTAAAAAAAAAAAAAAACAGCTGACACTGTGGCACCGATCAACAAAACGATACAAGGGGTAAAAGCAGGAATTAAAGTGCTCTGTTTAGGCACCTAACAGCCTGTGGAAAGAAGCTGTTAGCATAGCGAGATGTCTTGCATCTCAGCGACTGATATCTTCTGCCAGAGGGAAGAAGCTGGAACATGGCTTTCCCAGGGTGGCCAGAAGAGTCATTGATGATTTTAAGAGCTTTGTTTAAAAGTCTGGATTTGTAAAGAACCTCCAGAACAGGAAGCTCACAGCCCACGGTCCTCTTTGCAGAGTGGAGCACCTTGTTTAAAGCTCTCTTTTCTTTATCTGTGATGTTTCCAAACCACACAGACACAGAACCAACAAGTAAACTCTCAATGGTGCAGCAATAAAAGTTAAGCAGAATCTTAGAGTTAGTGGTAAATTCTCTAAGTTTCCGCAAAAAGAAGAGCCGCTGACGTGCTTTCTTAACAACCCGGTTAGTATTTTTAACCCATTTCAGGTCGTTAGACAGAGTTAAACCCAGGAACTTGCTCCTCTACGATCTGCACCTGGGAGTTGTCAATAACAACAGGAGTGTGAGAACTGCTACGACTGAAGTCAAAGACAAGTTCACATGTTTTTGCAGTGTTCAGCTGGAGATTGTTTACTTTACTCCACTGAAAAACATGTTTGATCTCTGCTCTATAAGAGGAATCATCATTGTCACTGATGAGACCGATGATGGTGGTGTCATCAGCATATTTGATGATCAAGTTAGAGTCAGAGGAGGACACACAATCGTGAGTGTACAGAGTAAAAAGCAAAGGACTTAAAATACATCCCTGAGGAGAACCAGTGCTCACAGAAACAACATCTGAAAAACAGTCATTGATTTTTACTCTCTGAGATCTGTCAGTTAAAAAGCTAAAAATCCATTTACACATGGCAACATTCAGACCAAGGGACATTAGTTTTTCAACCAATATGCTTGGGACAAGACAATTAAAAGCAGAGCTATAATCAATGAACAGCATTCTCGCGACAGATTTACTAGTGTCCAAGTGCCCGTAGACAGAGTTCAGAGCAAAGGAGATGGCATCCTCCACACTCCTGTTCTGTCTGTAAGCAAACTGGAGCGGGTCAACACTCACAGGGATCTGGCTCTTAATGAAGTCCAGCACAAGCCGCTCAAAAGTCTTCATAAGAACAGACGTGAGGGCCACAGGGCGGTAGTCATTGAGACATGTCACTGGAGACTTCTTAGGAACTGGAATAATGGTGGACCTTTTAAAGCTCACCGGCACCGTACAGCTCCTGAGTGACAAGTTAAAGATGTCCGTTAAAACAGGGGCAAGTTGCTCAGAGCACAGTTTCAGGACGCGGGGAGGAATGCAGTCCGGGCCTGCGGCTTTCCGAGCTGTGGTCCTGGACAAGACCCGCCGTACTTCCTCCTGAGTCACTGTGAAGGCACCCTGACATACCTCTCTGCTATTGTCCCAAATAAATCTTCCAAAACAAACAAGCAGTGGTTGTTATATGACTTTTGGTCGACCAAACGCCGTTGGCCATCCCAGTGGAAACCTGTGTCTGTTTGGCTCAAGACTCAAAGCAAACACCAGCTTGGACAGAGGGCAGAGGGATCAAAAAGGAAGCCGCCCTGACCGGTCACACCCTCTACAAACAACACGGCTCCAGACAGCAGAGGAAAACTCACACACTTGGCCAAAAAGGAGAAAGTTATACCAGTGCTTATTCACGGCTACCTAATGCCTCTTTGGCACAACACCGGCCTCCAACACTTAGAGCTTATCATAACACATTAAATCACCTCAAACAAATACAAAGACGCAATTATCTGGTCAGCTTTTATTTGCCATTACCTTAAAAACATAGAACTGGAGAATCAGGCCTGTGTATTGCCTTGGCAGAACCATGAGATTTAAGGACATTAAAAAAGAGTGATCTGGCCATACAGTACAAGGAAAAGAGTTAAAGGAGAAGGTCAAAATGAACACACCCCAACGATGACCAAATATTTAGTTACTCATGGTTCCTCTGAACGAAACAGTCAGCGCAAAAAACAATAAATAACAAACAATAGCTCGATGCTGGAGGATGTATGACTGTTCCGAGAGCAGAGGAAACAGGTGAAACATTGGAACACTCACAGATGACATGAATAATAGCCACATATGTTTTACTTCTCAAGCCGTTGGTCAAAAAAAGAACTTGAAGTTATTTTAAAAATAAAGGGAACTTCTGTTATAGAATATTGTAGGAATATTATATACATCAATATATTTTAAATGCCGTAAAATAGATTCAGATTTGAAGGTTTCTATTAAAAAAAATCATGATTGTTTTTTTTATTTAATCACAGTAATGGTCACTTCACAAAGGAATTCAGTGATAGAGAAACAACAGTATGTAATCATTAATTTGGTTAAAACAAGGTGGATTTAAAGGAGCAATATGTAAAAATCTATACAAAATTGGTACTGCAATCATGGTCCATATTCTGTAGCCATCTCCCATTCTCCCTGACTCAGGTTGCCAGATAATGTAGACAAATCCAGCTGGGACCATAATAGCTGAATAGACAAAGAGTTTTGTCAACAGCAAATTTAAAACCAACACCTTTTTCACAAAGGCCCCGATAGAAATCCTGGTTTTTTATTACTTATTTGGGAATAATCATGAACAAGATCTTTTTTTAGTTCTGTGGCCACATGGTACTCTACCAGTGAGATTAGCTCGACATGGTGAGTTCTGGCAACCCAGGTCACAGACTTTCTGATTGGTAAAACGGTGGAGGGCGGGGCATCGAAATGAAAACAAAAAACAAAAACACACTTAAATCCAATTTTGAAGTTTGAATATCCCTGAACTACTGTTACTATTAAAAAATTATTTGAAAAGACGATTTATTAAGCTTTTTGACAGATTAGGGCCATTTAATGATGACTTGATATGCAAATCTTACATATTTCTACTTTAAAATAGTCAACAAAATTCATGAATTTGTTAAGACCAGTCAAAATCTGAATGAAATGGTCCCCTACATCAAATTTGTCTACTTTTATTTGAAAAGATTATGATATTGACTGATTTAAGACACTATCCATTAGTCCAATTTACTGACAGATTATGACCGGTGCTTTCCTTTTCTCGTAGGCCCGTGTGCCTCTGACAGCCTGTTTTATTGGCCTATTAGCAGCCCAAAGTTATGCAGGTCTAGTAAAAGATCCCACACTCATCACATCGCACTTTCGTTACAGCTGTAGAGGAAGGAGGAAACTGATTCCGTCGGGCTCAACCCTGTCAATGTTGTCGTTCATTAAAAACCACGGCCTGCCTGACATGAGCTTGACACCGAGCCACAAACAGCTGATCAAAACCGGTCTGAAATATGAATGAAGCCATGACATAGTAGATTCGGGGCGTTGACAGCTGAATAGTTAAGACTCAATCAAAGCACTTGCTGGATCAAAACCTAGGCTAACATTATAATTGCTTTGCCGTGGCTTGTATGTTTAGTATTATTAAGATTAGCTTGGATTGATCCATTTAAGATGTGTCCCGCGTTTGTTTCATTATGGTTTTCTAAGTCAGCGTCAATCCTCAGTCAAGAGTATCCCATGGTGTTTCTAAAGGGAGTCATCTCATCTGAAATATTTGTTTTTGACAGTGAGATGTTACAACTCTCACCCAGAGGTAATGTTAATGTCTGAAGCGAAATGAGAAGCAAGATGCGCACTTTGTATTCATAGAAATAATTCAATATTGTTACGGTTTCGAGTCAAGCTTGCACTAACACAATATCAAAATGAAACATGGATCCTATAACTAAATCTGGAGAGGACAAGAACTAATTGAGACTAGACTCAGACCAAACCACAAGAAATGGTGTGAAGTTCGTAATGTTGAGAATAGACAATAAATGTAAGGTTTTTAACTTGTTGTATAGTATTTGATGACTGAAAATTACTGAATTAATTAACCATATTCTTGAGCTTACAATGATTCCACATAGCAGACTGTAACAGGTGTGAGATTCCCATATTCATTCAAGATCTCTTAAAAAATGTTGTTACTATTGTGAAAATTTAAGTATGATTTACTTAGAGCAGATGGATGTGATATGCAGTCAACCAAACACAAGTTAAACTAGTCCAAAAAAACCATACAGTGGACCAGAAGAGAGGCTGGATGTCTCTTAGGAGTGGCTTTGTACTCCATAGTTCCCATTATCTTTGGTTATATGAGCAGCATGGTTTGGCAACATCACAGACAAAGGGACTGAGGACTGTGAGCTGTGAGCTGTTCTGGAAGTCCTGTATGAACCCAGACTTCTACGATAATCAATGACTCTCCTGGCCCCTGGAAAAGCCATGTTCCAGCTTCTTCCCTCTGACAGAAGATATTGTTCGTTGAGATGCAGGACAATTTCATAGTGTCAATTGTTTGCTGCACTTTTTTGTTAAATTGTTTTTTTTCTGTACTCTTAACCAAATTATTTAGACTTGTCTGGTGCACACTGGGGACTTTTGCATATGTTTTCCAATGAGGTTTTACTGCAAAAGGCAAATGAAATAAATCTGAATCTGAAATCAGGGCTAGCTTACTGTTGTGTAACCACTGTGCCGAGGTATGTTAGCATGCCTTGAGATGTTAAATGATCCAATATCACCTCATGGTCTAAATAAGACTCATTTCCACTTGTCTGATTTCCTGTACACCACACTCTGCAGCCTTAAATAAAAAAGTCATTGTCATCAGAGATTCAATTCTACATCAAAGTCAGCTGGTGGTGTTCCATGTGATTCTTTCCAATGAAAAAGATGTGCCACTGCTGAAAAAGGTTGGGGAACACTGGCTTTCATGACTCTCAACACAAATGTTATGACGCTGGTGACGTACCCTAACGTAAGGACGTTACTTACCTGAGTTTGAGGTTCCCCATGAACTCATCCATAGAAACATTGTCCAAAAGAACAAAGTCAGCTTTCCCGAACTCCAGGCTTTCGTGTTCAGCCATCCTCTGTATTTACAATAACAAAAAACGACAACAAAAAAACAAACAAAATATCCTATTCTAGAATATTAGCGTGTCTCGAGACGTAAAGCATGCACGCGCTCCTCTCATCACCTGCAAGTCCATTTAGTTTGAAGCTATATCCCTCATGGTGAAAAAAAAAAGACACAAAACCTTAATTTAACCTGGTAAAGTATCCTCCAACTTTGACCAGGCTGTGCAGCACGTGAAACATTACCCCCCCCCGGTATAAATATGTAAAGTTTAGGCGTAAAATAAGCTGTCGTTATCCCGTTACACCGTGGGCTTCGCTTTTCCTGGAGTTTTGTCTCCTTTCGCCCAGGGCACAGCGTCAGCCAATCACAATCAAGCCGCCAGTCCCATGTCCCACCCCCTTAGGTGTTGGCCTGTCTGCCCCGTGTCTAACTATTACAAGTATTTGTGAAGACCACTAATGTCTACACTCTACTGGGCATATTTGAGCAGTGACGCATCTATTTCATACAAAGAGGAAAAAGCCACAATGTTTGGGAAGACTTTAATGCCCGCTATGGCCATATAAGGAGAAATGGGGCAAGTTCAGGAATGAAGGATCAGACAGAAAATAATAAAACTAATAATGGGGTTTTTGACATTATTGTATTAACTTTTTCAATGAGACACAAGACTAGACTTGGCAATAGTGGTCTACACGGTTCGATTGGCACTCAAGAGATGCTGTATCATGTTGTTTGAATGGAATTGTGTGTGTTCTCTGTACATAAGCTGATGGAGTGCAATGGGCAGTCATTGGAGTGCGGTCGCCCTCTTGTGGAGAGTAGAGGTAAGTGCACTCTGCTAGACTTGGTGCCTGTTGCATTACTGTGACTACAACAACAGTAATAAAGCAGGCCATTACAGTGGTTCTATTGCTTGGAAAATCTAACCATGTTTTTATGGTTCTGTCGAGTAAGAACTAGAAATCTCCAAGGGCTGTATTATCAGGTTACAAGCAAAAAGGGGTAAATATAGATTCCCACTTACAATTTTCTTGTTTGGTGCATCTTGTTACTATCATTTTGTGTGGTTGTATGTTTGATTGGGGGAGGCCTTGAGAGCAACTAGCATAACTGTGTGTGAAAGTGAGAGCGAGAGACAGAGAGAGAGAAAGAGAGAGATGTGTTTTTAGACACACTGATGAGAAGACAATGCTCTGTAAAGGAAAGACTGACTGGTGGTTGTGACATTAAAGTAAAAGCTATAATGTTAATACTGTGAAGTGTTATGAGATCTCTTCACTGTCATAAATACTAACATTTTTAAGCCATAATCTGATTACAAAAAAAAATAATTGACAATCCTTGTACGAACATAAAAAAAATTGACCTAATTGACATAAAATAATAATATATCCTTTTGTTTATTGTTTATTGTTTATTGTTCAACTGTTCAAATTGTGCAACTATTCAGGGACACAAAAGAAGTCCAAATATGTCCAACTTCAGTACAACTAGCTCAAGTAACTTTTACATATACTTTTCACCCACTGGTACTAGTTTTATATTTTAGTGATCATTTTACATTCTTAATTTGTGAACACTGTGGACTTTTACAAATATATTCCTATGTAGTTTTCCAGCAAATAAAATGAATTTGAATCTGAATCTTGGCAAGCCTCTGTAACACATACTTTGACTGATACTGCCATCTTTTCCTCCTCTTGCACCTCCAGTTAATCTTGTCATTGCTCAGTGCTCACACAGGACTGGTACCTGCTGCACCTTCCACATATATCAGAACGCTTATATCTGAAAAGAGGATCACAGTGCATACATTAGACTAACCTGTCATTCAGACTGTATTCCTACAAATATAAACGAAAATGCCTTTTACCGCGGTGATGATCCAGGACACTGCGTTCAACAGCATTTATTGACATTAATCAATATTCATGGACATTGGTCATCTGCCCCTTATGGATAAATGGCTTCATGTGTGTGTTGTTTCGCTTTTTCTATGGTTGAACATGATTATTCTGTGATTCTGTTGGTGATATCAGTGGTTTTGTGAAGTCCTCCCAAGAAAACTGGTGTTGTGATTTAGGGCTATACAAGAATAACTTGAATTGAATTAACAGGCTAGTAAGTTTCTGCAACACTTTTGTATATTAATTTCAGCATTTCTTCTTCCAGCTACCACAGAAGTAGCCAGGTCTTACTACAACATTTTGTACGTAGAGATATGATATTTGACCGGGCTGAGGCCAGGCTACCACAGAAGTGCATGGACTCCACATTTTTCAGCTGGAACAAACCTCCCAGTATCTGTAGGCTCTTATCGTAGAAAAGACAGTACCAACCTGTAACTAGGATCACAATTTGAGGGAAGCTTTAAGAGTTCAAAGACTAAAACAACAGATTGGGCGTAATCTTGTCCTGTGATGTAAGGATAACGTAAGCATCCATCTAAATCAGGACCGAACCAGGGCTTACACATGTTGTACCTTACTTTTTTCTCAATTATTAGTCCATGATTTTTTTCAAGCAGAGTGTGGGGTTTAACAGTACAGCTTTTGGGAGGAAACGGCTGAGGTATGTGGTTATCCAAACATAACTTTTCTGTAAAATAAAGCTGATTTAAAGCTGTGAAAATATCAAATAGGTTTGAACTACAAGAGTTAGAGGTATAAAACAAACTCTTCTGTCTGTAAGAAGGTGGTAGAGAGTCATGATCAGAAACTTCATAACCACACAAAACATTCTAAACCCGTACATTGAACAATTGTAAAGTGCTGGAAGTGCCTAACGTGTGTTTTGATCTGAAGGTCGTGGGTTCAATTCCCACCTCTACACCTTCTCCACCGACTCCCACTGATGACTGCTGTCATTGTGTCCTTGGGCAAGACACTTAACCCCACTTAGCCCAAAGCCCCAACTGAAAGATCAAGGCTATGCTCACACTCAGAGAGCAGCCGTTCTCCAGTGGACTCACCACCTGCAGAGGGTCAGTGAGGGGCTGGTGCTATGAGACTTGGGTGCATCTCTGATTGCCACCCCCCTGACCCAGAAATGGATTAAAGGGTAGAAGATGGATGGATGGCTTTTCTCTGTGTACGGAATTATGAATGCATTATATGTAAATATGATGGATGGCTGAAGAGACCAAAGACACAATTAGTACATTAAAATGATTTATTTATTTGGAGCATTGACCCCGGCAGTGACACTTGCAGCGATGATATCGATTGCCGCTGAAGATGATCTCAGATCCCCCGGGGTCAAGCACTGGTGGTGGCTAGAGTATGGTGTGAATGGGGTGTAGGCGGAGCAAGAGCCAGGGCAGGACCCAGAGCAGGAGCCTAGAGCGGGAGCCAGAGCGGGAGCCAGAGCGGGAGCCTAGAGCGGGAGCCAGAGCGGGAGCCTAGAGTGGGAGCCAGAGGAGGTGCTGGGGAGGTGGTGGGTGTTTAGAGCTTTCAAGAAGCGCTGTTTGTCAGGAAGTGGCTGCTTTTTAAACTGCCCGCTTGGTGACAGAGGGTTAGCAGGAGGCTGGCCGGGCAGTGTGATTGGCTGAGGCTCAAGGCTGGCAGTGCTGTGAGATTGGCAGGCTTCAGAGGGGGAATTTGCACTCGGTCTTTCAGTCTGAACATTTGCTTCAGCTTCATGAAAATGAAACATCTCTCATCAACACTGATCTCGTTCCTGAACTTTTGTCCTGTGAATCTAATCGAGGAAACCCAGCACAACACTGTCACTCAGCGAATATAAATAATATGAACAGATTTACATTATACAAGACCTGATTCAGGGCTTTCTGCTGCTGCTGAAGTGTTGTTTGTTCACACGTCATCTAAAACAAGGCAGCGTTTATAAAAGTGGGAAATCATTATTATTGTCATTTCTGCAGGGACGGCAAAGTGACATTACTAACAAGATTTCCATAATCAGAATCAGAATCAGAATCATTTTTATTGCCACGTAAGTAACAGGAGGTCACAGACTTGGAAATTGCTTTGGCTCAGTACAACAGTCAGAAAGAGAGAATAAAAATAAGAATAAAAAACACTTCTAAAGAATAAATTTAAATTTAAAATAGAGTTACAGTTACTATTTACAATATACAAGTGCACATGGTGCACACAATGTAAGGTGACAGCAGTACAGTGAAGTAAAGTGACGTATGATGGGCAGTAAAGTGACTTTATAAAGGGCGGGGGGACAGGTTAAGAATTGTTCAAGAGTATAATAATAATATAATCTATATATACATATTATAAACATTAAGCCCTATCCCGTTTCTAATTTAGTTGGATGTGGGACGAATAAAGGTTCTCTTATAGTAGCTTAATACACTTAAATGTATCATACAGTAAGTAAATATGGTTTTGGTTGGTCGTTTTGCCTATCATGTCCTTTCTTAAATCAAAGTGCATTCAAACCATATTGACCCCGCTCCCATCTCTGTGTGGAGTGAGAGGACAAGTGCCCAAAAATAACAATTGTAAACCGCTTTGTGACTCTGGTCTGTGAAAGGCGGTATATAAATAAAGCTTACTTACTTACTTACTTATTTTTTGGCAAGATTCAAGATGCAATTTATATATTTTTTCCCCACTTTCTTTTCCCATTTCATAATTTTCAAGCACAGAAAGAACACACAAAATTATATTGGGGCAGAAATTTTGTGAAGATTGAAAAATTAACCACAATCATTTATATTTAATTAAACGATCTGGGCAGCATTGAGATTAAAAATACTGAACATACAGATTATCCATATTGCGCACACATTTTAGCGTAGATTATAGAGTAATTAGTCAAAGCACTTCTTTAATAGGTTGCATTCATGTTAGAATTATATTTCAGTTGGAGAGAAAGTGCCGCTACAACCTTTTGAAAGAACTTACTTAATTCATACACTATTTTAAAAACATTTTCCCCATTTCTAGACATCTTAAAGAGGAAATAATTAGACCATAGTCCATATATACACTTACAGTAATAATACTGTCAAACTTTGTGACAGTTATAATTTTGTGTGGATTAGCCAAGAAAATAGAGAGAAATTATCTATATACCAAGACCATACATCTGACTTTTGACACTTACCAAAATTACTTGGAATAAAATTTCAACCAACCTCCACCACATAAGCTTTGAAATCTTGCCTAATATATTTTTTTCTTCTGTGTAAAAAAAATGAGATCAGTCTGTTTGTGTGTGACGAGACTTCAGTGTTTGGGCTCCCAGGACTGCACACGATGACAACGCCACGGGCACGGCCGCAGCGAAGGCAACCATCTGGGGAAAACAACAGTTGTACAATAATTATGCAAATTGTGACATTTTACCGAGTCTGTGAGCACGAGTCTTTGCACAAAAGGGTTTTCTATGGGAATGTGTGACTTGTGCACAGTCGGGGATTGGGGAAAGTACTTCATGAGAGAGTCAAGCCGTTCATGTGTAATGAGTCAGTTTTTTCCCCTTGTGCCCCTTGTGCAACAAAATAACCCAGAGTAATACTAAATAAAAATACATAAATGAAAAAAAACCCAATACTTTACCTAGGTTGTTCAAAGGGGAAATGGACGTGGAGTTTCAGACTTTCTTTGAAGACCACATGGCTAGCAGGCTGGGATACAGGCTCCATCTTCAAGTACCTCAGGAGAAGACAACATCCTTGTCTTTGTCCCGGTCACTGCTTGTAATCGTTGGCAAAAGCCATTTCCATCTATTTCCGACAATTTTTTTCTTTTAAATGACTATTCTTATATTAATAACAAGTAACTGCAGTGACATTGACAAAGATCCTTCACTCCATGCTCTTGTGAATGTTCTTTTCCCCCTGTTTCCATTAGACCAGACTTTTCAGACAGAATTGTGAAAAAATGAGGACCATCCTAGAGTGTGCAAGTATAGTAAGTCAAAGTTAAAGTTCAAAATCAATATACTTGCCAGTTTACAAGTTTGCTCGACCTTTAATTACTCAAGTGGAAAAATACAGACTTCTGCAGATCGTAATGACCAGCTCTGTTTTGAACAAAAATGCACAAAATGTCTTATCAAAGTTCCATAACTTCCAGAACGCAGGTGTGTCAAAGTAAGCAGTACTGCAGGGCTGCTCTGTGCACCTTTTTAGTAAACTTTTAACAACTTTTTAGCGCGTTTTTATTGTTCAGTTTTTTTTAATATATCTGAGTGTTTTATCTTTTTAATTCAGTGGTTTCAGCAAATAGCACTTAGTCCCGACTGAAACCCACTAGTAGCACAGAGGCTAACACAAGCTAACGAGGACATGGAAAGTGACAATGAAATTGGCTCAAACATGCACAATATTAGTCGCCTCACCTTGGAGCTCCGTGAGAGCGACCGTGCCACCATTGCAGATCTACGAAAAGAAGTCCTTCGTCTCACCGCAGAGTTGAATGAGAAACAATCTCTAGTATCCAAACTTTTTGAAGTCGCTGGTGGGCAGCACTCACGGCTGATGTCACTGAGCGCTGCATATTGTGACACTGTCGTGTGGGAGAGATCCGTCAGCTCCGGACCCTCCTGTTCTACACCTAAGCGCCCGCTTACGAATAACGAGCCCGCGGATTCCGAGGAGCCATCCTGCGCCGTGGCCCATGTCCTGAGTCTGGCAAACCGCTATGCAGCCCTCTCCACCGACATCCCGGCCCCCTCAGCAGAATCCCTGGACACTGCAGCGTACTCTACTGCTCGAGGATCCAAGTCCACTGCGAGGAAAACGCTCCTAAAGGAAGCAGTCCTCAGGCGAAAGAGCGGTCCACCAGCCATGTTGGCCTGTTCCCCTTCTTTGACCCCAGTGCAGCAGCCTCAGACTGGGGTAGCTAGCCATCATCACCACCGCTCACCTCCACCGGGTCAGCAGCAGCGCCCAGAGCCAGCCCCTCTCACCGCTCCAGCGTCCCCGAGCACACAGCGTGGGTCGCCTGTAGCTGAGAGTCAGCACCCCCGCTCCTCCTCTCCATGTGTTCAGCGGCGCTCGGGTCCTGCTTCGGGTGAACCCGCTGGTTCCGTCCACCGAGCTCCTTCTCCGAGGCCACTCTTCGCCCCGACCACTCTGATTATTGGAGATTCCATCGTGAGACACGTCCGCTTCTTCAACGCGGTCACTCGCTGTATTCCCGGAGCTACTGTACCAGACCTGCTCATACGTCTCCCTCCTCTGCTTCAGTCCCTGCCTGATACCGTTTCCAAGGTAGTCGTGCATGTGGGAATTAACGACATGAAACTTCAGCAGTCAGAAGTCACGAAGAAACATTTTATGGATCTGTTCCACCTCCTTCAATCCTCCGGACTATCTGTTTTTATTTCTGGTCCAATCCAGACTGTAAACAGAGGTGACTGCCTCTACAGTCGTGTTGTGGCGCTGCATATGTGGATCCAGGCTACATGCAGCTCTTTTAACTTTGTCTTTGTGAATAACTTTGCCCTTTTCTGGAAACGTTACGAAGCCTATCGTCCAGACGGATTACACCCAAACAGATACGGTAGCAGCCTGTTGATGGATTACATACGTTATGTTGTTCAGCGTTCCCCGAGGGGGGCGTGACTGTTTACATCTGAGCCCCCTCGGACCCCACCGCACTCCCCCGCCTCCTGCTCACCAGCACCGGGTGAGTACAACGGTGCAAACACTGCTCCCTGTCCGTCTGGCAGTGCATTACCAGTCCAAACACTGAACTGTGCTGACTCCCTTCTGACTCTGGGATCCTCATGCAGAGACTGGAGGAGGACTGGGTTGGTGTCACTGGCACAGCCCTAAGACTGGTTTAGGTCTTACCTGAAGGATAGGAAGTACTCTGTGGAGATTGGGGACTGTGTCTCAGATGAATGTGGCCCTGAACTGTGGAGTACCACAGGGGTCGATCCTGGGACCTCTCCTATTTAATCTCTACATGCTTGCCGTTAGGTCAGTTAATACAAAGAAACAAAGTGTCCTACCACAATTACGCTGACGACACTCAGATCTATGTCTCACTGACTGCAGGAGAACATGGACCATGGATTTGCTCTTCACTGTATCCAACAGATCAGTGACTGGATGCAAAATAATTTCCTCCAGCTAAATGCAGACAAAACCGAAATCATTGTCTTTGGTCCCCAGAAACAAAGAGGAGGGCGTCATTGTCAACTTCAGTCTCTCTCCCTACTTCCTTCAGACAAGGTCAGAAATTTGGGGGTAATACTGGACTCAGACCTAAATTTCAATAGCCACATAAAATCAATAACATCAACAGCTTTTTACCATCTGAAGAACATTGCCAAAGTTAGAAATATAGTGTCCAGGGCAGACTTGGAGATTCTTGTCCATGCATTTGTCTCCAGCAGGCTAGACTACTGCAATGGCCTGCTTACAGGTCTGTCCAAACAGACCTGTAAGCAGCTTGCAGTACATCCAAAATGCTAGCAGACTTAGAGTCCTGACAGGAACCAGGAAGTATGACCATATTAGTCCGGTCCTCAGGTCTCTGCACTGGCTTCCTGTGGCTCAAAGACATAGATTTTAAAACGGCTCTGCTTGTGTACAGTCTCTCCATGGCCTTGCACCAGAATACATTAGTGACATGTTGGTGTCATATGAAACGGCCGGACTCTGAGGAGCACAGGGACTGGCCTCCTGCTGGTGCCCAGAGTGAGAACCAAACATGGGGAGGCTGCGTTTCAGATCCATGCAGCTAAGATCTGGAACAATGCATTCTCTGTCGTCAGGAACATTTCCTATGGCCCTAAAAACAGCAGTCATAAGACCTCTCCTAAAAAAGAGCAGTCTGGATCCTGCGGGACTTCAAAATTATCGCCCCATATCGAATCTGCCATTTATTGGAAAAATTCTTGAAAAAGTGGCCTCCCAACAACTTACTGAATTTTTAACAATGAATAATTCTTTTGATATGTTCCAGTCTGGGTTTAGACCCCTCCACAGCACTGAGACCGCTCTAGTGAAGGTAACAAACGACATTCGACTTCACACTGATGCAGGTAAAGTCACAGTTTTGGTCCATGTTAGATCTTAGTGCCGCGTTCGACACTGTCGACCATGAGATCCTCATGCAGAGACTGGAGGACTGGGTTGGTGTCACTGGCACAGCCCTAGACTGGTTTAGGTCTTACCTGGAGGATAGGAAGTACTCTGTGGAGATTGGAGACTGCGTCTCAGATGATGTGGCCCTGACCTGTGGTGTACCACAGGGGTCGATCCTGGGACCTCTCCTATTTAATCTCTACATGCTGCCGTTAGGTCAGTTAATACAAAGAAACAAAGTGTCCTACCACAATTACGCTGACGACACTCAGATCTATGTCTCACTGACTGCAGGAGAACATGGACCACTGGATTTGCTCCTTCACTGTATCCAACAGATCAGTGACTGGATGCAAAATAATTTCCTCCAGCTAAATGCAGACAAAACCGAAATCATTGTCTTTGGTCCCCAGAAACAAAGAGAGGGCGTCATTTGTCAACTTCAGTCTCTCTCCCTACTTCCTTCAGACAAGGTCAGAAATTTGGGGGTAATACTGGACTCAGACCTAAATTTCAATAGCCACATAAAATCAATAACATCAACAGCTTTTTACCATCTGAAGAACATTGCCAAAGTTGGAAATATAGTGTCCAGGGCAGACTTGGAGATTCTTGTCCATGCATTTGTCTCCAGCAGGCTAGACTACTGCAATGGCCTGCTTACAGGTCTGTCCAAACAGACCTGTAAGCAGCTGCAGTACATCCAAAATGCAGCAGAGTCCTGACAGGAACCAGGAAGTATGACCATATTAGTCCGGTCCTCAGGTCTCTGCACTGGCTTCCTGTGGCTCAAAGAATAGATTTTAAAACGGCTCTGCTTGTGTACAAGTCTCTCCATGGCCTTGCACCAGAATACATTAGTGACATGTTGGTGTCAAAGTTTTAATGGTTTTATTCTTTTGTGTGATTTTAATGTTTTAATTGTGTTTTAATCTTTTGTGTGATTTTAATGTTTTAATTGTGATTCTGGTGTTTGTTTTATGTGATGATTTGTGATGTGGACTGTGAAGCGCTTTGTGTTGCCCTGTGTATGAAAGGCGCTCTACAAATAAACTTTGATTGATTGATTGATTGATACTTCACAGTACTTTTACTTTAGCTACATTCTACTTATGCACCACAAAGGGGTCTTTCTGTTCTTATATTAAAATGATTTATTAAGGCCTCATTTCCCTTTGACAATACTTCATTTACCGGTAATGATTCAGCAGTTGCATATCAAAAAAATCCACAATGTACTTTGCATGACTGATTAGATATTAGACATTATTCCTGTTAAAATGATCAAACATTTTATGGAAACAAAGTCTACCTTGCTACCCACCGTTCATCTTCAGATAAGACTCATGTGTGTGTTATCCTCACCATAAAGTCACAGAGAAGGGAAACCCAGCCTCTGTGCCTTTTTATACAGACTGGTCACAAAGCACAACATAAGGCAGGGCCCAGTTTACACGGCGGTTCCACTCAGTTAAGGTGCTACTTCTCACAGGCCAAATGCAAATGTATAGACACAATAATATTACAGTATAAGCATGTTTACAGTCAGTGTGGTCAGTGAGGAGAGGACACAGGCTGTTGAATATGTAAGCACCAGTCTGACTTGAGGTGGGGAAATGATTAGATTAGATATAGTCAGTGTCTGGTGCACACTGGGGTACTTTGGCACATGTTTTCCAACAAAACTGAATCTGAATGTGCCATCTCATCAGAGTTCACCGTGACTCCCTCCAGCCAAAACGGTAAATTGTTAGTTTAAAAGCCTCTTGACATATCTTTAAAAAATTAAAATATAATCATAACTTTTTACTTACGTGTCAATAAAAATGATTCTGATTCTGATAATTGAATGAATTGTGGAGGTTGCGAAAAGTAGCTATGGGTCGTATCAACAGTAAGGCTCGGTCACACATTACTGAAATGAAAGATGAGCTCAAAGCCTTTTTTATATTATTGGCTGCAAGGAATGAAGACAGTGACCGAGCTCTGTAAAATGTTTGATTCTGATCTCCTTTTCCCCTGAGCACCAGCACCTTCAATCCCACCCAGGCCAGGGAGGGCTCATAAATTAGATTGATAAAAAAAAAAACTTCCTCCCATCTTGTCTCCTTCTCTTGCCTCTCCTTCCTCCTTTCCCCCCCTTCCCTAGCCTGGGTAAAAATGCAGACTATGGCTCGGTTGGGGGCAGAAGAGCTTGGGAGCTGTGATGGCCTCTTCTCCACAGCTTGGAATCAATTTTTATGCAATAATCATGTCTTTCATTACACAAAGACACAATAGTTTGCCTCAAATCATTATAGATTTGGCCATAACTGTCACTATTTCTTACTTGGGCAGAGAGCTGGTCCTCTTCTATCACTTTTCCATCTGAAAAAAACGATATAAAGATGTGACAGAGGCCAAAATATACACACTATCAGCTAATATGCTATTAACTATTATACAACTGTTGTATAATTGCACTACCACTGCTTCATGGGACTTCACTTTTGACTCTGAAAAAGATTTCTATAAAGCAGACCACAAGAGGGCAACAGAGGCAATTTAAATAGCCAAGTTAATCAAGGACTGAACTGTTTCAATATATTTAGCTGAATCAGAGACAAAAAAAGTGCAATTGCCCATAACGTTTTCAGACTGTGCATAGAACCCATTAACTAGTAGTTGTTATGGCAAAAATAGAGCTGTCACATAATATACTTGGCAAGGGCTGCTTTTAGGCCAGCTGTTCTTCCCTGATACATAAGTTACAGTAGGCTCGCACTAACATCCACTATAACATTCTATTTCCAATGCTTACAAATGTTAAATACAAATGAGCTGTTTGTGAGGCCACGGTGAGGCAGTTATTGTGATGGAAACCTTTTTTTTTTTCCTTTTTTATCAGCAGTGTGCAAGTCCTAGATAAGGAAAGGCCAGAGATGTTTCCACTGGCTGCTGCTGGTGCAGCTGGTGCTGATGGTTCTGCTGGTACTGGCTCACATGGTATAACTGTGATGAGAAAATGAAGCGGGTCCGAAAGGAGAGCTGCATGTGAGCAATCTGGACGTCAACAAGCACAGAAGGGCATCCAGGATATAGAAATAGCCTGGTTAAATATAAGTGCATCTTTGTAATGGAGAGTAGCGTCATTCCAATGCGGATTATGAATGGAACAAATAGTTTAGACAACTCATCATGGGTCAAACGCGTAATCCGTGGCCTTTTACCTAGAAGAAATGAGGTAAACAAAAGTCGTATTGAATGGATAGTTTACGTTTGTCTTGTTTTTGCTGTGGTTTCGAAGAGAATGAACTCCTGCAAGCAATCATTAAAATCTATTCTCACTACAATACATATAATCAGACCCTCTAACAATCAGTCCCTCTGGAATTATTCTGGCTGATGAGTAAAGTTAAAAATAGACCAACACCAACCAATGACATTTAAATCAGTGTTATCCGAGGTGGTGCTACTGAGAGAAATGAGAGTTAGTAAAATAACTATTGCTAATGTATAAAAACAATGTATTTTTATAGTGCTGCCATCTTGTGTACTGTATGTATGTAGAAATAAAAATTGCCTTGCCTTGGTTTGTGAGTCACTATTGAACTCTTTAGGCTGCGATCTGATTGGCTGAGTGCGAAATGTCATCTCTCTTTCACCTTTCTGTCTAAAAAAACTGATCTAAAGATGTGAAAAAATACCTGAATTTAAGCCAGGAACTAGCCACAACACGAGCACCACATAGATCCATTGTTTGTGTTTTAAAAGTTAAGTACCCCAGCTTGCATTGCCTCACAAATCCCACTACCCCTTGAGGCCATGTACAGTAAATGCGCCCAGTGATTCTTCAAAAAAACAGATAAAGTTATGAAACACCTGGGATTTACCCTTTTGTACCATGGCCAAGTAAACGCAATGAAGTGGACATTTCTCTTGGCATTAGCGTCCACTGCTGCCTCCAGGCTTGACCCCAAAATGGCTGCCAGGGAGTGCTGCTTCCCCTTTAATCTCTGCTTGTTTAAAATAGATACAGCCCAACTGGAGTAAAGGTCTTCTTGTCTTGTCCTTCCATTGTCTCACACCAGAAGCAGAAAAGAAAAAACACAGCACACAATATATCTAGTGTATATGATTTCTTTTTATCTTTTCAGCTTGTACATATTTACAATCATCTCCAAACGGTGAAGCTATAAAAATAACAATTCACATCCTAAATGGAAATATAATAATAATACAACACTATATGGACCCAGTATAATGACAAAGCTCCTCCGACTGGTCGCATTGGATCAAAGACAGATTATGAAATTGGAAAAAATGACATGCGCGCACGTACATTTGGCCAAAAGACACTTGAACCTTGCTAGGACATATAGTGAGAAGCTTTAGTTAAAACAAAGCCGGTAAATTGGGCCCTCCAGTCAATATAACCAAACCCTTTGATTTAATTTAAACCGTCATCCTATGCAAACCAATGCATACACGTATACGATTATTTTTAAGCTTACAGGCGCTGACTATAGACATATTTACATGCAAAAACACTTCAGTTCAATTCATATTACAAACAATAATACATTCAGTCACAGTACTCCAGTAGAAAGTGTGCATCAAATAAAATTTCAAGTATTTAAAATATTTTTGGGGTGTTATTTAATAAGGCTAATGGTTTTTTAGAATAGACCACTCTTTGCCCTTGTGGCCTATAAGCCTCTATGATACAAAAAAAAAAAACAGTTCAGTGTTACAGTAATAGCAGTAGAAGTACTGTACTCTAAACAAAAGGGAATACTTTTTCAGCTGTTGTAGCTCTCCATGGCCACAACTTGTCCTGACCGCCCCAACTCGAGCTGCCCAGATCCAGATCAATAGCACAGGTCGTAAAATACTAGTCGTCGATTTCATGTATCTATGTGTGTTGATAAAATAGCTAAAATACTAAGTTGGCAAAGGTATATCACACAATTTCAGATTCACAGTCAAATATGGGTGTCTCTCGTCTTGATGAATGTGTGGAGAGGCCGGTGAAATGGAAGCATGGAGGACCGCACTTGTGGACATTATTATTTGGCCACCTTGAAGTTGCTGAGGTCGATGGGCTCTCTGCTGGGCATGCACCAGTCGTCCGCCTCCTGACTCACTTTGTAGTTCTTCAGAGCCGTCTTGTTATAGACGGGAAGCCGCTCCACCGAGTCTGTGGACAGGGCCTAAGTGTGGAAGAGGAGAGTCAGTGTCAATCATTTCTAATATGAACCTAGAAAGTTTGTGTAAGCCCTCAGTGAACCTTCATGAACCTAGAAAGTGACTACATTTCAAACACTGGATGGATGTATATTATTTCAGTCTGATTTCCGAGGCCATTTTTATTTCCCATAGAGACAGTCAATCCAAACCCAAGAGTCTGTGAAATGAAGATTGATTTGTGTGTGTGTGTTTTTTAATAATCAAATTGTTGTTGTTTGCCAGGTATGTTGATGATGTTAGTAGTCTTCACCATAACCAACAAAAAAGTGTTTTGTGTGTGCGTATTTGTGTCTGTGTATTAGAAAATATAAATAAAAAAAGTTTGTGGACGAAGACGGTTCAGAAATACATAGATTCTGCTCATACTATGTGTCTCAGGTGTTTGGTTTTTGATTTACCTGTTTTAGAGAAATGTCACTTTTTGTCCCAAATCAATCTGTACAAATATTTATATTTTTATTTTCACACCAACACAGATATTTCAGATACAGTGAATGTTTGGTGCATATCTTTGGGACACTTTGGGACTCCCCGGGGAGCTTTGTAAAGCTTGTAAAAGGGGTCCTAGATTGCATAAACAAAAATAATAGGAAGGCGAAAACAGAGAAAGCAATACAGACATCTACATTCACACTCACACAGAGATCTTGTTGGTGAAGGTACATTATAAGTTGTACATATGTGAAGCAATAAACTATCATATTACCCCTTGCCAAACAAATTAGAGCAGAATGTGTTTTAGATGAGGGGGTAAATTAATACTATGGAGCGACAGTCTTCTCGATTAATACGAAACACAATCTCAACCTCCCGCCTCCCCTGGCTACACGATCCTTAAGTAAGTTTACTTTTAGAGTCTGGCTACGTTCAAGCTTGGCTCACCTTCAAGTAGACGACAGCATCGGTGCCGTAGCCCTCCATGGAGTAAAGCTGCAGATCCCCCTGGAAGTACTTGGCATAGAGTCGGGAGATGGGGAGGCCGTAGCCAAACCCGGCCTGTGCAGACATCAACAGCACATCAAGGGTTTACACACACTTTGTTCCCACAAGATGCAGCCAACCTCGACAAAGACTCCATGTCATTTAGTGCTTTGTCAGGAGTTTAGTTCATTTGGAAAAATAAATTGGTTATTCCTCTTTTTAGGGCAGCTCAAGGTTTAGGGCGGCAGAATTTCAGAAGTAGAGAGAGTAGAGACGTTAAGATGAATATGTCAATCCATTATTGTTATTCAGGTAAAATAATAATCATAATATTTAATATTTAATATTTAATATTCCAGTATTATCCAGTGATATGACTTTATGCTTATTATTGTAAGTATAGTTCCATAAGCAAATGTATTTTTTGACTTTTAACTCTAATCAACAAAATCAACTTGTGGAGTTATAACATGTCAGACAAACAAAATTTAATATTTCTTTCTGTTCTCAGTGAATATTCTCTAAATCGTGTTTTCTTCTATCATTAATCCGATCTTTAACGTGTGAAATTGTGACATCTTTAGTAAAAAACAAAATGAGAAGCAAAAGTATTTGATGTTGGTGACTGACCAGTGGCGGCCGTGAGTGGTCTCCCATCTGTGGTGCCGGGGCAGTGGAGTACATGTAGCTGAAGAGATTGTCGGTCCTGCGGAACGGGACTCCGCCTCCCATGTCGCTCACCTGCGGGAAGTGAGGGAAGTCAAGCTTCAAAGACACTTTGAGTGCATTTGTGTGTTTCTGGTTATCTTCAGAGTAAGACTTCAAAAGTATAAATCTTTTCAAATACCCCTTTGATGACTTTAAAAACCATTGCAAAGTCACAAAGGTCTGAAGAGTATTTAATCAAAGCTGACTGGGTTTGTTTACTCGGCACTGAGCCGAAATTATGATTAACACGTTATGTAACATGTTTGCAGAGTGATCCAGGAGCGAGTGTGTGCTGCTTTTGGTTTCAACAGGACCCTTGTGTTTTGAGGAACAGTGTGTACTTTATCATTGAATAGATGACACACAAAAGGTGTGGTACAATTTCAAATAAAATGAAAAATGAAGATGAAAAAACATTGAGCAAACGTGGTGATCCTTTTGGAAAACAGAAGGTATGGAAACTTTTGTAGGCGATTAACTGAGAGCAAATTGATCCAGATCAAATCAGAGCAGTATATTTGAGAGGTAATGCCTGAAGAGACACTTGAGTCTGGCTATTTCTAACTGTAACTGTACTGTACGTATTCTACTGTACGTACAGTACAGTTACATAACTCACAGGCAAAGGGAGCAGCGGTCGTAAAGAGGGGAAGTAAGAGGCCCATTTCACTCTGGACTTTGGAAGGAGAGTTACGCAGACTCATGTTGTGATTAGGTTTAACCTTTTAGAGACTGGACAGATCTTGTATCAGGAAAGAATGTTTCTTTTTGCTTTTGAAAAAACACTGTGTCAGAAAACCTCTATAGTTAGTTAAAAACCTAAATAAGAAATAAATGTAATGATTCATGTTTTAGAATATGAAATAATAACTAGATAATACATGATGAAACATGTTCACAAGGTAAAATAATGTCTGATGTGATGCAAACATGATAATTTCACTAAGAACATCCTACTATGACAGGACTGAGACAGGAGGTTATAGAAGGGGCGGAGTTACATGTTTGTGCCAGGAGTTGTTGGTATTTGTGTGGATCTAAAACAACTGCAGGTCTGTGACTGATGAGGGAACAATGTTGTAACATGGTTAAAAAAGTTCATTTTGCATAATGTGTATCTTTTAAGGTTTACATCTCCAAAATAAAAATAAATCCTCAGCACTTGATTCATTGTTTAAATACTTCTCATTTTTCTGGAGCTGTGAACAAATTTAGATTGGAGTTTGAATAGGCCTTCACAACTTAATATTTTCTTTTTGTCTCCACAATATTGGGTTATCTGGGTCTAAAATGCAGTCAAATCATGCAACATATTTTCCAGAGACATTTCAACAACTTGCCTTCGCTCTCACACTGAAGCAAAGTGAAAGAACACACCTTTATGGACATATCCTCTCCTCCCAGCGACACCAGGACTTTGATTGGCGGGAGCTCGTCTCTGTTTTCATGCGTTTCTATCGTCGCACGCATTGCATTCTACAAAAACCAAACAGAACGAAAAGACTACGGTCATTTCACACACAACAGGATCAAACTTTTACTCAAATGTGGCTAAGTCAAACCTTGAAAAGCTCAAACAGCATATGATACAGGTGAGAAGGCACGTACACAATGCTGATAGACTGCGATTTGTTCTTGCCTGGGCAAAGAGAACAAAGACATATTGTACAATCCACTTCATTTAAAACGCATCACCTCGTCTAAGTGCTGTTTTTCCCCTATCCCTGATCATCACACTCTGCTCTGGTCGTGCACTGTAAGAGGATGGAGAAAAAAAACGTGTCAACATTGTCAAGCGCAGCGAGCCGGACCCACTTAGCTGTTACTTCAGCTTCGGTGCTATAATTATCAGCCCCTCAAGTCCATCTGGCCGAATGCTCATTTCCATTAAAACACAGAGTTGGTGCGCACACAATGGGGATCACGCGGACTGAGAGAGCACCGTCTGTACCGACCAGGGCTTTGCTATTGGCACCAGAATATAAAGCAATCTTACTGTTTCTCTCTTGCAGATCCATCTCAGGAGAGCGCAGATAGTACTGGTCGCACAGCATCTTGGCGCTGTGAAAGGCATCTGTGGCAAAGAGAATGAGTAGAAATTGAGCAGAAAATATAACAAATGGGAAGAGCAGCGTGACCACCTGGCTCCTCGTGGCGGTTTTCAAGAATTTGTATCTCAACAGAGCCGTACTACATGTTGATTAAAATGAAAAAGCAATTCCTTCTGCTAGTACAATTTGGAAAGAAAATATCATGCCAACTCGAAACTCTACAAGCTGAAAGCAAACCTCCAAATGACTATTGGCAATTTGAAGTGAATGGATCTCAATTATACTTGTATTCTCTTGTTTTCTTTTCTTGTTCCTAATAATAATATATGTGCTTTGTGCTACTAACCTTCAATAACATCTGAAACTTGACAGTGGGGGTCTATGCTCCCAATAGTGTTGGGATGGATAGGATTTGTGTTGCCGTCAAATATGAGAGCTGCAGAGACAAAAACACAGGTTTAAGAGTTTACCGTGCGTCAATCAAACTAGTACAGCCTTTTGTCGATCTGTGATAGCAAGACAAGGCAAAAATCAATCACATCAGGCTATATTCTAAAGGAGACACATTCTGAGAAATTGACAAAAGGTCTATCCGGGCTATTAGCTGGATCTTCTGGCCCAAACAACATCGCCATTTGCCGAAATTGCCCATAAATGAGTATTAGCAGAAATGGCTCATATGAAATGACATCTTCTAATGATTGTATGTCTGTGTTTGCAACCAGTAATTTTCAAATAGCACAGGATTGGATAGGGCAGGTCAACGGCATTATACTCCTCATGTTCCTCCATTTTACTATTAATTTTCTATCATATTTCACATTAAAAAACACATTCAACAGTATAGTCTCATTATATCTGAGAAAGCCACTCACTGTGCTGGTTGATGAGCATTCGTATAGAGATGCGGCTCATGTAGAAGCGGTCGAGAAAATACTGGATATTCTGGTTGGTCACTGGGTCCTGGGAGAAAGACTCTTTGTATTCGAGGATGCCCTGAGCCATGGTCGGCACCACGTCATTGTGGCGGTTTCTTATCGTCACTAAAGCGTCAACAAATCTGCAGGAAAAAGCAATTAAAATGAATCACAAAGTTTAGAATAGAAATAAATCCGGCCTGTTCTTCCCTGTTTGTCAATTCCTTTAGACGTGCAAAATACAGCAACAACATTTTGGAATTCATGGTGACTGGATTAGTTTAATGTTCAGTTGTTCACCAATAAAAACATGTATAATACACACAAACACTATCAAATACAATTCATATTTGAGTTGAAGTAAAATAGAGGCAGTGACCTCCTTGTGCAAGTCCTAAGGCAAATGCAGGGTCACATTGAAACCTACAGCCGCACAAGTTAGACTGGGGTTAAACTGGGAGAACACATTTATAGTCCGCAGCAAGTTGAAATGAATTCATAAGAAACAGGAGATGTGACAAAGGGTCCCATAACAACCTTTGAGGATATAATTTTAAACTCTGAATACAGTGTTTGAGCCAACATTGCAGGTGAGTGATATTTGCACATGATGTAAAAAGAGATCTGCTATGCCTGGAACTGTGCCGACGGTATTTTTGACACGTGCGGCTGAGTTTGCGTAAACAGCTATTGTTAGGCCCTGAGCACAACACTAGGTCAAAACTACTCACTTTCCCAAAACTTTGTGGTCGTCTGGATTTTTGTCGAGGAAGTTAAGGATATCCATCAAACTCTGAACATACCTGTGGAGACAAATAAAAAGGTATATTGGCTGGAACAATAACTTTAGGTTTTTTTCAGATGAATTTAGATGAATATGGCAGAGCGTTAGATAATATAGAATCATTTATATTTTTTATTATTTTACTAAACCATATTATATTGTTTAGAAATATAAATAAACATCCCCTGTATCAAGATAGATTTTGTATGGGCAGGCTCTGAAAGACACCCAGCCCTAATCACTAATTAAACCTGGATTCTAAACGGTATTAGACAATCATATGGAGAGCCCAGTTGGATCTGAGATGAAAGAGGAAATTTTGGAAAACATCTGGACTACTGTAACTCACTTTATTTTGGAATAGACCAGGCCGCTCTAAAACAACTGCAGGGAGTTCAGAACGCAGCTGCTCGCCTGCTGTCGCGTACATAACCCCTGTATTGCCGTCACTGCACTGGCTTCCTGTCACATTTCAGTTTAAAATGCTACTTTTTGTTTTTAAATGTCTTCATGGGCTGGCCCCGTTGTATTTGAATGAACTACTGTGTATTCAGGATTCTGTAAGAACTACAAGGTCATCTTCCCGGTTGCTCCTTAAAGTTCCCAGATCCAATATGAAGAGTAGAAAGAACCGAGCCTTCTCTGTGGCCGGGCCCCGCCTTTGGAATAATAATAATAATAATAATAATAATAATAATAATAATAATAATAAGCCGCTGATTCACTGGTCAATTTTAAATCCCATCTTAAGACCTATTTCTTTTCACTGGCTTTTTAACATGCGTTGAGCTGAATCTCTCTTTATATATTTCCCTTTATTGCCTGATGTACATTTTAAATTGTTTTTACTATGTTTTTAGCCAATTGGTAAAGCACTGAATTTGCACACACAAAAAATGTTGCAAAGTTTATCTACAAACTGGGTCTTCATCAGGGAATTTCTCACAATGTTATTCATATATGATAGAAAACACTGAATGAAAACACAACACCTACTTTTACAACTATCACTGACCATAAAACAAACAGTTAAGTGTAATAAAGATCAGACGAGAACATAATGTCCAGAGTAAAGCCAGTCCCATTTGAACAAGATTCAGTTATGTCATAAATTTACCCCGAGTGTGCCATAATTTGTCTGTTTTTGTTTCGTTTTTTTACATGTTTGCATATGTTGTTCACATGAAAAATCAATAAAAACTTCCATTATAAAAACATGATTATCAGTCGGTAAACATGCAACCAGAGCAAATGCATGTACAAGTCTAAAATGTGTTTTTCCCACTGAAAAGAAAGCCCCCGTCAACAGCACGTACAGATCGTAAGGCACGTTCAGAGAAACTAGGGCAAAGTTGAGTGTGAACAGCCCTCTCCCTTATATGAGCGGCTTGGAGGAGACACAACTTGGTCAAAGGGGGATTATGCAATTCCAAGCATGACTATAACCATTTGAGGACATAAAAACATCCCGACTGTTTTATGGCATTGCTGTAAACAAAACCACGCAGTTCCCTTCACAACAAAGAGGACACTGAACCGAGATCCTAATAGAAAAACATCTGCCGTTTGCTTTGAGGACAGGCTCAAATTTCAGGCGCAGGCTTTGACTACTACGAATGTGGCAGCTTTGGTCATGCGTTTCATGGCTTTCAACTTACCAGCCCTGCACCATTTTGACAGAGGGGGTTGTGAGGAGTTTGTCAGGCAAAAGGTTAATTTCCTTCATGATGTTGGAGAGCCTGACGGGGAGTTCTTGCCGTAGAAAATTAAATGACGTCTTTTCACAGGCATTGATGGATCCTGCACACAAGGGGAATGATTAGCCTATATATATGCCTGTTTCATATGTCCTGTTATTTTGTTATCTATATATCAGTAAACAATGGATGATAACAGTTCAAATGTAAATAGTTCCTCATACTCAAAACAGGATTGGGGTTTGGTTCAATCACTAGTTTTCACATCCATGCATTGTTGGCCTCTATCACAGCTTTAGATCAGCTTTGTCAGTAAAGGGAGACCACACTCTTTTAGTCAATCATCTCTCAGCCCAAAGCATCAAATATTGACTCAGAGGGCGATTTCTTACAAGAATATAACCTGTGTTCTACTCAGATAAGGACAGCTTGTTGTGATCTGATTTGTTTGCAACATCTTACTTTTACAAGACTCTTTCGGCTGTTATTTAGACTGTGTTACTTAGTATTCAAAAAGCTAGGTACCCCAGCTTTAATAGTGAAATCAAAAAATAAAATATGACAACCTATTCGTCCCACAATGTCAGTGTTGCAAAGCACAGTTCAAGAACAGTAGGAAGCATAGGTATTAGAATTGTTGAAAAAAAATAACAGTTAACGTGTCATAAAATGCCCTTTGTTATTGAACCTGGACCACAGACTGTAAACAGGCAGCTGCAGAAGCGATGATGCAACAACGCTGCACATTTTCCATTAGCTACAACCAAACCCACTATAACCAGCGAATTCTAGTCCAATCCAGCAGGAATGCATGACCAACACGGCGGTTACACATGGGAACAAGTGTGTGTTAGCTACAGTTAAATAATACACTAATGCACAAAAACTAGCATGACATGTCTGGAGCAGGAGACTTACCGAAATCCAGAAACTGCTTCATGGACAAGGGCGATGGAGAGAATTTAGAGAAATGGTCAATATGTTTGGGCACACTTGTCAAAGCGGCATTCTTCATAATAAATCGTACGAACTTCATATTGATCGTAACAGCGGCTTCATAACATTGGTGTAATGTGCAGGTTCGTTAAGTGTATCACTGAGGAGCTGCGGGGCGCGGAGAGGAAGGAACGTTCAGCGGGAGCCAATCAGAAGGCTGGATTATTTTGTTGAGCTTGAAGTGCAACCAATAGGAAGAGTCGGGGGGCGGGACTAGTGTCGTTGATCACAGACGAGAACACAACACCAAAAGACGTAAGAACTATAAATACATTGTAGTCTCCCATGTTTTTGTGCTGTCTGTATGTATATTTATGTATGTATAAAGCGTGTGGGGTTGGCAATATCATTTACACATAATTAACTGTGTTTACCGAGCTTGAATTGTAAGTAAACCCATACAAAACACTTTTTTTTTCTTTGAATGGAATATGTCAATGCCTGAAATTTCCATCACTATGGAGCAAAAAAAAGTTATGTTATCATGTCTTATTAAAATTATAATTAATACATTCCAGAAGGCGTGTTTTGCATACATTCAAGGAGCCCCTTGAAAAAGAGATAGTTTATCTCAATGGAGCTATCCTTAAATAAATAAATAAATACAGTGAATTCTGAAAATAATCGGAAAAAGGAACAAACACGAGTACAGTAAACTGTGTCTAAATTGTATTGTATTAGAACATAACATTTAGTTATGCACTCCGATAAAAACAAAAGCATTCATATGTAAACCACCTTGAATATCAGAGACTCTTCAGAAATGTTATGTGAAACCGGCAACAGGTGGGGCCCTGAAACTTTGGAAGAATTAGAGCACTTAAAAAAAGAACATCAATAAATAATTAAAAGAAAAATATGTAAGAAAAGTGTCCGGAAATTGTTTGTAGGAAGTTAGGTCACTGTTGTGCCCTACATTCATGAACTCTAGAGCTCTCTTAGAGGATTGAAACATGAAACAACATTATGTAGAGTATTAGCCTGTTTATTATATAATGCAAAAAAGCAAGAGAAGCATAATACCCATACATAACAATTATATATACTGTCTTTCTTGGAAGCCAGCCATGCACCAGTCTGGTTAAGACTGGAAATGCCTTTGTCAGAGAACACAGTGTTCTGATCATCTTCCATTACGTAAGAGTTGGCTATTTTGTCGCCACAGTTTGGATGGCCTGTACAAAACCTATGAGTCTACATTGTAAATACGCTTGACATTCCGTAACACAAGACAGCTACAACAGGTAAACAAATGCCTGAGCATACAGAGGATTATTCACTGGAAAAACAACACTTAAATGTCACACTTCACCAGCTCAAAATACTGTCACATTAACAAGTATTACTCACTGTATTCTAACTGCCAATTGTTTTTGCACATCTCTGGATGCAACAATGAAATTCATTCAAATGTCCTTAAAAGTCTCTAACTAACAGTGTGCTCTTTGAGGCACATTTTCACTACCTCTACAAGGTCAATACAGAAGCAAAGTTATGTTTAACCCTGTCTGTACTACTTTTCCCAGCAAAACTCGTTGGATTCCTGTGTGGGTATAAGTAATAGAAGATACAATCGTCGATGTCAACTAATGTGGGGAACTTGTTTGTATTAACCTGGTGTTTAATTAAAACTAACACGCTTTCTTTAAAATCATGAATTCCAAAAATGTATTGTGATTTTTTTTAGAAACATGATTGTCACATTATTGTAGTGAATGTACTGTAATATGTAATTCATGAACTACCCCCTACACTGGAAAATACATCTGCTTCATCTATAAATTAACATATAGAGTGTCCCATCACCTCACACCATGCATTTGCTCCATATTAAACTATATAAGTGTCAAGATTGTATAGAGAATATATAGAATACTGTCATTCATATGTGTGTATTGTAATTGCAACTCATTGAAATTAAACATACAATTTTTATAGAATAACTTGGAAAACTGTGAAAGTACGAAGAAAGTACGGATTAGATTATGAAGCTTCATTTGTTTTGGTCACTTGTTGCTTGGCTCTGCAGTAGGGCATAGGTGGCAGCTTTGGGACAGGAGGGACGCTGTGTTTTTCCACTGTGTATCAGAGCACATTCCTGCCCCTGTCCAGCTCCTGTTCCAGCCGTCGTCACGTGCCGCCTCTACATCCAGACTTAGGCACAGAGCAACATGGTCAACAACAAGTTCATCTGTTGTCTGTTTATATAGATACATGTCATATATGATGCATGCACAGTATACAAGAGCAAGGATGTGAAAAACAGTCCAAGTGTGGCCTGCTATGTCCTCTGTGTGTTCCTCTCATGTAGTGATAAACAGTCCCGGATCAATGCCAAATTGTGATCCCAGGTTAAATGTTTTATTAGGTTAGGGTTAGAGGTAAGGGTTAAGGTGAAGGTCAGGGTTCACCAGGGCTCGGGTTAGGAATATATGGGGTTAGGTTTTTGGGTTAAGAATAGGGTAATAGTTAGGATTAATGGAGTCCATGATCAACTTCTTACAGTGATCCTGAACTGTGTCATCCAGCCAACTTCAGCTCTGCCAAAATAGACATGCGGTACGGTGCTGTAAAGCTCAGAACCTTTACAGGTTGGTGACCGCACCAAAATTTGTTTTTGGATCATGGCACAAAATGCAGTATATGATGGCTTGTACTGTATATAATGTAGCTCGTGAAAAAGTAAACATTTGTGTATAGCCAATTGAAAGTAGCTACATGTAATTAATTGGCCCTAATCTGTCAAAAGGCATTCATAAACCATGGTGTTCTTTAACTGATAACAGTAGTTGAGCCGAGATATCTGGATTTCAAAATTAGTTTTACAGCCCTTAAATCTTTTTATTGTTTTCATTTCAATGTCCCGCCCTCCATCATTTTACCAATCAGAAATTCTGTGGTCCGGGATGCCAGAACTCACCGCGTCAAGCTAATCTCACTGGTAAAGTGAGATTAGTTTGCTGCAGAACGAAAAAAGGTCTCGTTATGATTCTCAAATCATTAACAACAAAACAAGGATTTCTTTCTGGGCCTTTGTGAAAAAGGTGTTGGTTATAGATTTTACAAAACTCTTATTATATACATTATAGTCAGGGAGAGTGGGAGAAGTTGCAGTACCACTTTTGGCCAGATTTTTACATCCTGCTCCTTTAAGTGAATATTGAATAAACCATATATAGGATTATGTCATACTATTTTAAAGGTCAGAACAGGCCAACAACAGTAAACAAAAAAAAATCTTTTCAATGTGGGTTGTCGGCGACTGGGGAAGTCTGGTTAACCAAAGGAGCCCTCTTACTAAACCGTTTGGACACCACTGTGAAGTCAAGAATATGCAGACGATTTAAAAAAAAAAATGTTTATTTATGACTAATAGATATGAACCATATTTGACTGTAAAATAGATTCAAAAAACTGTGATTTTGTACAGAACTTTGATTAACCTGAGCTGCTTTTGCCACAAATTACATTAAAGCTTTCATAGACAACGTTGCAGAGTAAAATGTCCTCATGATAACTATAATTATTTGAACTGCTGTGATTAGGACAAATTCAACTTTTGAAGAGCAGGAAATTACGGTCTATTGTGTCACCCAATCACATATCATTCTGAAGACTCATAATTATGTGCATTATTCACCAAAGTCCATACATGACCTCTGCACAGTCTGTGATTGAAGTTTTCTGAGCAGGAAGTTTCTCTGATCACACAAAGATGGACGTGTTACTCACTTCACATCTTCCTCTGTTCATGTCTGTGAGAACAAGCCCCTGATGACAATGGATGGAAAAATAGTCACGCAAAACAATTCATAAATACATTTAACATGCGTTCATAAATTTGGTAGAAATAAATAATGTTTAGAACCGTATCTTTCTACAAGTGATATGGTATTTGGTGTTCCAAACTTGGAAGATTGGAAAGACTTAAAGTAGAAATATGTAAGATTTGCATGTCATGGTCCTAATCTATAAAAAGACATTAATAAAACTTGGTCTTTTCGATTACTTCTTTAACTGATAACAGTAGTTCAGCCGAGATATGAGAATTTCAAAATTCTCATATCTCAATTATTATTATTATTATCTCAATTATTGTTTTCATTTCAATGTCCCGCCCTCCACTGTTTTACCAATCAGAAAGTCTGTGATCCGGGTTGCCAAACTCACCGCGTTGAGCTAATCTCACTGGTAAAGTACCATGTGGCCGCAGAACTAAAAAAGGACTCGCTAAGATTCTCAAATCATTAATGGCAAAACAAGGATTTCTTTCTTTGTGAAACAGGTGTTGGTTATAGATTTGTTGTTCACAAAGCTCTTGTCTATTCAGTTATCATGGTCTCAGCTGGATTCTTCTGTAAATCTGGCAACCTGAGTCAGGGAGAGTGGGAGAGGACTACAGAATATTGACTGTGATTGCATTGCCACTTTTGGCCATTAACCATTAACGATCATATTTATCTAATGATAATAATATACTTTGATAGTAATGACTTTGTATTTGTAATCTGCAGAATTTATTTCATGTTTCAGATTAAGCTCACAGTGTGGTGTAGAAACATTGTTCAATAACAGCGCTTTACTTTTCTCTATGAGTTTTTTATTTCATGTGTTGTAAACTGTTAGGCCTTTGAGTCGAGCATTGATCCCCAATCAATCATGTTTCTGAAAAAAAAATATTTTGTGATCCATGTGTTTGTCTTAGACGTTTAAAAGCGAATCATTGTAAGTGCTTCTTACTTGTTAGAGTAAAAACACTGCTGGAGAAAAGGCGTTGAAAGGCCACTGCCAGGTTTCGTTGTAGGAGGTGTGTTTCAGAGCTAAGTCCAGACCTGCCGCAGACAATGTCTGATTTTAGGATTTAACTTCAACTGGGATTATGCAACATTCTATTACACAAACTGGTTCCATTGTCACAGATCATTAAGGCAAATAGAAAACTAA